ATAAAATGTGAATGACATTCTACACTTAATTATCACTCCATTTGCATTCTCTCTATTCTATATTATTATAATTGATGAAAGCGAGTACTGCATACACAGCACTATTTGTAAGATGATGTTCTCACGGTCTACAAATAGACACGACCAACCAACTACTAGTGGCCTAGAAATTGCAGGTAGCAGTTGGTGACGATCGCGATAAATTGGACTAGAGAAAATATCTCCCAAATATTAAATATGTTCAGTATATACACAGGACAATAATAATAATGAAATGTTATTGACCGTCTCTCTCCAATCCTTAGAGATGTAAATGGGTCGGGTCGGGTACGGATTTTGGCAAATCCAAACCCGACCCGCATATAATTTACTCTACCCAAATTTAATCCGTTATCTAGATATTCGGGTTCGGGTTGGGTTTTACCCGGCGGGTGAGTGGACTTTCGTCGGGTAAACAGATAATACGAGTTCTTAAATTTGAGCTTTACACAACCCATCTCGTTTCATATGAAAAAATAAAATAAAATAATTTTACAATTAATTATAATGTAACAGATAATTTATTAACTAAGTTTGACAATAAAAACTGTAAAAATATTATATTATTTTTGAATAAATAATGAGATATAATTATTTGTCTTCGATAGCCTATTTAATAATATAACATTTAAAAATTAAGCATTTAATTTTTTTTATTGTACAATTAACAAAAAATGAAAATAAAATCATAAAAAATAAAATAAAATTTAACCATTAATCAAAATTATAATAAATAATCTAATTTTTAATATTAATAACACATGACTACTTTTATATTTATAATAAGTTATAAATATATATTTATATATATTCTATATATATAAAAATCAATGGTTATGGGTAAACGAGTAGAGTAATCAGGTTTTCATACTATACCCGCATCCAACCCGAGCTGACCCGGGGTTCGGGTAGCATAATTCTACCAGAAACCATGTGCCGGGAATCGTTGCACCATCAATTAATATAGAGCAAAATTAGCATATTAAAAATGTAATTGCAATGTAAAAGAATCTTAGAGCATCTCCAATGCGGGAAAAAAAATGAATGTCAGTGTCATCATTGAAGACAATGTCTTCATAATTTATCTCCAATGGACTCTGTCGTGGTTGAATATTTTGTGATGTGGCATGACTACTCTGAAGCCCACTATTTGAAGGCAAACAGTGTATTCGACAAGGAACGTGAGTATTTATCTGATACATGAAAATAACACGATTTATGTTTTAAAAGTTAAGCCATGTTGTATTTACTTGATACATAAAAATATCAGAATTTTTATATTTTGAAAATTAAATCATTTTGTATTTACATTATTTACATGATATATGCACATAAAAATAACATTGAATGTAATTACAAGTTTTATATTTTAAAAATTAAACTACGTGTCAAAATTTGTATTTACTTGATACACTAAAATAACACGATTTTTATATTTTAAAAATTAAACCATTTTCTATTTAGTTGATACATAAAAATAACACAATTTTTATATTTCAAAAATTAAACTATCTTGTATTTACTCAATACATGTACATAAAAACAACATTGAATGTAATTATTTATATTTTAAAAATGAAACTACGTTAACGTATCAAAATTTGTATTTACTTGATACACAAAAATAACATGATTTTTATATTTTAAAAATTAACCCACTTTGTATTTACTTGATACATAAAAAGAACAAAATTTTTATATTTCAAAAATTAAACCATTTTGTATTTACTCACATGTACATAAAAATAACATTGAATGTATTGCAATTTTTATATTTTAAAAATTAAACTATGTTGTATTTATTTAAATCATTTTTTTAATACCAGGTTATCATTTAACATTCTCAACCGGTGTATTTATGTAGAATAACAAGTTACAAAGATACATTGTTATCGCTACTCAAACAGAATCCAGTATGAAAGAAAGTGGTGCATTGGACGAAGTAATTGGCTGTTGGTATTTCTAATGTCAACGATGATATTTAGGGGATCTGTTATCCAATTATGTACAAACACGTGGGCATGAACATTTAACATTGACATGTCTACATTGGAGATGCTCTTAATTAGCTCTGTGCATTGACCCCTGTTTTTTCTGACTAACCAATAATGAAAACCATGAACTTTTTTCCCAATGTCCAACATGGATCACCATTGAATCTGGTCCCATATCGACAGTTTGTGATCGAAGATATAAATTACATTTTTCTTTGAAATATATTAGTCTTTTTTTTTGGTACATAAATATATTACAGTCTTTGATTCTTTGTACTGACTAAGCAAATTGATTTAAATACATACTTTCAGAAAGTTAGTTAGACACTTAGACAAAGTACATGCCCAAAAAAATCGCAACTTTAGTTAATTACTTAGATATATACCATATATCATAAACCCAATAAAATAAAAACTTACCATGCTAAAAAATCCGTAACAACCGGATTCATGCATTAATTAAATAAAGTATATGTATTACGCGGTAACTGATTATATGGGATTAATAAATACCTAAAATTCAACATTTTTTGAATTTTGAAACCGAGAATAACGATAGAGTTGCCGCCATATTTACTGTAAGAAATTCTTTGATGTATAAACATATTATATACATTTTATATACGTTTTGTATATTATTGGTTTCTTTTTTTTTGTTTATGTCTAAAAGGCCAGTGACAAGGTGTTCAAGATATTATGTGATGAGAAAACTTATATTTATGTTGTATAAATCGAAAACATACGTTTATCTATCTTTTTTAATGTCGTTCACTATATGTTTTACAATATATTATTTTTTATAAATAACTAGTACAAATCCCGTGCTATGCACGGTAGGAGATATTATTAGGGAAATTAGATACCATATAGTAACACATTTCTAGTTCTTATATAAATAATTAAATATTTGTTTATTTTGGTTCTATTTTCTTTAACTAATACGAATCATGTGCTATGCAGGGGTAGGAGATATTTATTAATATATATATATATATATATATATATATAAATTAAAAATACACCTTAAATAATATTTATAACTTAAAAATATGGAATCAATTGTAATACAATTCACCTATATTAAATTTATTGAAAATTTTATATGAAATTTAAATTGTGCAAAATTATAAAAAACATGTCTATTTAAAATTAGTACACAACCTGTACGGTGAACGTAACTGATAATAAATTACAATATAATTTCAAAATAAGTGTCATTTTAAAATTTTCATTCAGAAATTCAATTTAACTACAACGTAATTCCATAAAATAATAATTTTGATAAAATGTTATGAATATATAAAAATTTATGTGAATAATAAGTACAGTTATAAAACTATATTATTTCATTAACTAAATTGAATTTATTTTTGTATAAACTATCTAAATAAAAAAATTAAGTAGTTGAGTAATTTATTAAACTATAAATAATTGATTATTCTATTTACGTCCAAGTTAATACTAACCCGTAAGTTAATAAGAATAACTTATTTGACTTTTAAATTTGGAAACCAAATTTAGACTACACAATAAATTCTTTATACATATTATCTCTCAATTTTTTAAATTTTTTTTCGGTTACCTTATTGTTCAAATTTATCAACTAATTCTCTAAAATTAAATTACAAATTTTAAATTTTATTAACTAATATTTATTCAAAAATCTTTCTGATATTCAAAAGGAATACAGATCAATTTGAAAAATTATCATCAAAATCGTGTTGGTTGATCAAATTTTTAAGGGAAATGATGTACATATTGTATTATTTAAACCGTAAAGTTGTGAATTATTTGTAGAATAAATCAATTTGTAGTATATGAAATCCTCAATTTTTGGAATAAATCAATTCGTAGCTTTTGAGCCTACATTATATGGAATCCTCAATTTTTGAATTGTTATATTCTAAATAGTTTTATATTGAATAGCCACTATTGTGTGATTTTATGCATCATAACTGACTTATAAACCGACCTATCAAACGTGTTGGGGTGAATCAATGAAGATATTATTTAACAAAATCAGTTAGTACTAATCACATTAATCGTAGTAGTTGGAATCCTCAATTTTAAAAAATATTTGAAGTGATACGTTTTTATCATGTTTAGGAAACTGGTACATTCTTTAATTAAAAAAAAATTCAATTTTAAACAGAAGACCAATATAATCGGTTAAAAAAAAGGAAGTCAAATATATTAATATGTTTTCCAAATGAAAAGGAACTTGAATTTATCCGATATGGAAGGAATCTCATCAAAAACATATTGAACTCATCCAAAACATACTGAATTTCGGAATGAAAAAAGTTCAAACTTTCGAAAAAATTTCAAACAAAATATTAGAGGGCAAAAAGTGATTTGAGCGGTAAAATGAAATAATTTTTCAAATATTTTTTCTTCTCTCTATTTTATAATAATAGATACATATACACTAAGGATTGTGTTTATTGTACAACAAGTATGCCGTGTTATATACCTTACATAAACATGTTTGGAACTACACTTATTAATTATACAACTAGTATACCGTGTTATATTCCAAACAAAACTGTAACATATACAAATTATAATTTTGTATCAAACACATGACTAACGATTATAAACCTGTATTCCGAAAAAAAAAAAGTGTGCATGAAAACAATGTATAAAATAGCATAAAATATACGCATAAACATCTATCGTAAACAACATAAATAAAATGAAAATATTCCACATCGGATCTCGGATGAGATGACGAGGCAAAGCTGGGAAGGAGAAGTGAACGTCATCATCAATTGTATAAATATTCATGATGGTGATTGGCGGCGCCGTTGTAGATCGACAGTTTTTTATGGCTTTCGACAAAACAATCCTTCTATGGACGTCAATACGTAACTTTGTCTTCTTGGTCTCATCCATTGTTGATTCCTTGCAGAGTGGACACAAATTCTTCATTGGCAACAATTTCGTAATACAGTCCACATGAAAATCATGGCCATATCCTCGCAGAGTATCACTATCGGCCAGTTCGTGAACCCGATATATGCTATCTCCGCTGTTGATCGAAGGGAAAAGAAAAAGAAAGAAATGATTAGATTGAGAAGAATGACGTCAAAGAAAGTAATGGAGAAGAATGGAGGTTGTACGAGGCATGGAGGTTTTCGTATGGGAGTTAGAGAAAAAGAAAAAGAGTCTCATTAAATGAAGCAATTACCAAGTAAAAACAAATCACCTTAATAATTATTGTAGAAAGGCAAATATTACTATCAGATTATCAATGTTTACAAATAAAATATTATTTTAGTATATATGCAATATTTTATATTTTAGTTAGTTGATAGCGTAATTTTCTCTTTATTCTATTGTCTAGTACTCTTAGCGTTTTGTTGGGTTGTATTTTTTTAGTGTTGGTGTTTTTTCTAGTTGGAGACTTTCTTCTTTCTAGTTTTTATTCTTCTTTTTAAAAAATGTTTTTTTTCACTTATGAGAGTTATATAGTTTGTTGTATTTTGAATTAGTTTAGTGGATGTTAGTGTTGGGTTCGATAGTACCGTACGGGCTTTAAGCAGCGGAATTTTAAATTTTTCAAAGTAAGTATTTATCGAATAAATACAACACCCGTACATACTAATTGCGAATTAACTGATCGTCATCTTTAAAACATGCATCACATACAAATTTTGATTTGTTATATAAAAGTAAATACAAATACAAATAAATAGTATTTACCGAGTAGTTCTTGAACTCCTTCAATTTAACCGAAGTGGATTGTGGGAATCGGTTCTCGGTTTGTAACGTCAACGGATTGAGGTTACTCGCTTGAGGAATCCAAGTGTCTTCCCTCTAATCGTATCCACCCTATGAAGCCCGGTTCCGACTACCTTCCTTCGCTAGTAGGAATGTCTCGGTTTTCTCGTATAGGAATATATATATATATATAGATATAATTTGGGAATTTCCAAGAACACTTTCTTGAAATATATGAAGAACACTTTCTTCTCTCTTTGAATTTCTCACAAAATCACTTAGCATAATTTGCAAACATTTTGCACCTATTTATACTAAACATTTTAGCATAAAATAATCAATATTTAGTAATATTAAATAAAATCTGATTTTATTTAAAAATCATATTACTAACTATTGACTTTATATATAATAAACAATGTTAAGTAGTTCAAACAACCATCTAACCACCATTTATTATATTCATTTTATTATTTTAATCCTTAAATCATATTTAAAGATAAAAATAATAATATAATAATAAATCTTGAGAATCTATTCCAAGACTTTATTATTATATTCATTTCCCAATTTTCATCCATATTATAATAATCATATTATTATTATTTTGGATTTGAAATTTAAAATCCTATTTTAAAATTCAACTTTATTAATTTAGTAATTACTTTAATTACTAAAGTAATATCCAAAATGTAATTAATCAATCTTATTGATTAATATATTTCTTTAATTGACATCTAATCAAATTAGATATTTATCAATTAAATCTAACCATTAGAAATACAATCTTTACCTTTGTTCATAATTAGTGTGACCTTTTAGGTTCACTATTAATACTAGTAGTGGGTTTACAACACTTTGTAATTTGAGTTAAATCTTATTAACTCTTATTCAAGAATTAACCCCTTAATTCATGAACCCACATATCATGGTAACACCTAGCAAGTATCATGAATCTA